TCCCCCCAGTCTCTCTGTAATTTACATGAGAAGGTGGCCTTCTTATTTTCTATCCACAGCAGTGTTTCTCAACAAGCCTAATACTGCATCCTTTAATACAGTTCCTCATGTTGTGGTGACCCTCAACCTAAAATTATTTTCATTGCTACTTCATAACTATAATTTTGCTACTGTTATGAATCATCATGTAAATATATGTTTTTTCTGATGGTCTTAGGCAACCCTGGTGAAAGCCTCGTTTGACCTCCAAAGGGGTTGCGACCTACCCATGGGCTGAGCACTGCTGTCCTATAGGAAGGAAGAACTGAACCTGTGTGCCACCTGCTTGGGGTGTGGTGGGGCTTCTTCTAACAGAGGCAATCAGCAGGATGGAGGCAGAGATGCTGAGAAAGTCTGCACTCATCACCACCCTGTGGGGTCCTGCTTGCATGATCTTACCAGTGGTGCTCATGACTTCCTAAGAAAGGTCAATCAATGAGCTGGGTCTGCCTTTGGTGGTGGGATCCATTACTGCCCAGACTAAGAGAGTCTTCTTTGCCTGGGAACGGTGCCAAGGCAGGGGGAGATGGAAAGGGGCTGGGGACCTTCCAAAGCCTGGAGGGTGTGTTCTAGGCCCAGGACAGGAGACATCTGTGATGGGACAAAGGCAGAATGGGCTTGGGAGTTTTATTCCCTTTTTGCCCAAATCAGAACAGGTGGGCTCCTACACAGAGAAAGGCCCTGGGAATCCAGGCTGAAAACTGCGGGTGGAATGAACAGGCAGCCTTGTGTTTGCTGCCCTGGCTGTTAGGAAGGCAAGACTGAAGGCAGGGGCAGGGACTGCAACGGGGGGGAGGTGGGGGGAGGACCACATCTCCTTCCCTCTGGGCTGGTGGGTTTGCACTTTGTCACTCACCAGGGCAGAGAAAGGGATAGCACAGAGGATTTAAACGGCAGGGTCATCTCTTCAGCATATTCAGCTCACAGCCCTCCTGTGACCTCACAGGTACAAAAGCTCTTTCAGTGACATGGCCACCTGTTTGCAGAGGCTCTGTCTTCAGACTTCTCGTTCCTCTGGTTTTTTTCCTATGGCTCTCTCCCACCCTCTTGCTCTTTGTTTAACACACACACACACACACACACACACACACCTCATTCCCTACAACCACCAAAGTTGTTAAAAATGATTGAAAACAGTCTCAACCTCACACTCAGAGGTCCCGTTTGGCTCTTTGCCATGCACTTCATAAAGGTCAAGCTTGCTGGGACACTCAGCAAGGTCCAGGGTCACATAGCACAGGGTCTTACCCAGCACAGAAGCCTGACAAATGTGCTGATTCTAGGACCCCACCATTGCAGCAAAGGCCTGGTCCCCAAGAAGATTCGGGGCAGAGACAATATAACCTGGTCATTTTGCATCCCTGAGCCTAGCACCGTGTCCAGCATAGAGAGTGCATGACTGGTCTCAGAGCCTCCCCACCACCGTCGTGTGTGTATGTGTGTGTGTGTGTGTGTGTGTGTGTGTGTGTATGTGTGTGTGTACACGCAGTGCTTTAGGAAACTCTGAAGCCTGCATGCTGGCAGAGCCTCCCAGGTCCAGCATCTGTAAACTGGCTCACACACTGACCTTTCGCTGTCCACACCCCAGTCCTCTCCTTTCTTCTGCTTGCCCCTGTCTTTTTGCTGTCTCTCCCAATCATATGTGCTTATGTTGTACCCACTGAAAAGGAGGACAGAGCAGGAAGAGCAACTTCTGTGTCTGCTCTGAACCAAGGCACATAGTAGCACTGACTAAGATGAGAGAACCTTCTAGAGGGAGGCAATGCTGCCTGCCTGGACTACCTAGGTTGGCATATGCTAATGATTTCAGATGGGTCATTTTTGGATTTGTGCATTTTATTCTATGCAAGTTTAAAATTGTATCTTGATGAAAGGCATCTTAGAGACCCAGGGACCTACTCTTGTTCGTCCATTATGTGCAGGAGCTAATCTTGGTTATTAACGCTGGGAGGGAAGGGGAAGGACCTGCTGAGTATTTCATTGATCAGAGAATGTGTGTGTGTGTGTGTGTGTGTGTGTGTGGCTTCATTCAGCTAATTGTAGAGGCACATACTAGTTGGATATGCAGAAGATGTAGAGACAGGAGGATCATGAGAATCTTCATGTAGAATGTTTATTGAGGAAGATGTCTTAATACAGATGTCCACCAAATGAGGTTAAGCATCAATCCACTGATGAAAAGGTTGCGACCAGAGGGTCTCAAGAATCTGACCCTCTATTTCTTTTAAGGACAGTGGTTTGGCATTTGCTAATTCAGTGTTCACAGGTCTTTATAGATTATATGCAATATACCACTATTTCATATAATCAGTTCACAAGACAGGAGAACTATAGTGCACATAGTAGCTCCTACTGTAGCTCCTTGGGCTAAGAGAGGTCCCAGAAGAAGCAGCTCAGTGCTCGACTGCAGACAAGATGACCCTTGTATATTATCCCTGTTCTCTGTGAGCCCATGTTTAGTGAGGGCTGTCATCTGATGTGCAAACAGGAGTGAGATGTGATGTCAAGCTGAAGATGGTGAGGGGTTTAAACAGTAGGAACATCTGCCAGTTACACACAGGCAGCTTGAAGCTGTGACACCCTCAGGTACTTGGACACACCCTTCAAGTTCCATCTAGAAAATCACTGGAGTCGATCCAAGCCTAAGAGGAAGGACCTTATGAACTCTCAGTCCTTGCTGTAGACTGAGATTGTTGACTATCCTACCTGATGTGTCAGTGTTCTAACCACCAAGCATCTGACCCAAATGGTCAGCCTCATCAGTTTTCCTATAACCCACTGAAGTAGGCAATCCATGCATCCTCTTTCCAGGTCACAGAGGAGCCTGGGATGCTGAGGAGGTTTGGATTTGATTCTGTGTCAGATACTGCAGTCATGGCCACGACTGTTTCCTTTACCCTTTACGGCATGCTGAGACTGGAGTTGCTGGCTTTCCTGTATGATGGCCTGCTTTATATATGACCCCGACTATCCTTTGACTTTACTCTATCCCTGCTTTCTGCTATAGGAGTCAGGTATGGTGCCACATAAGAAGTAGTGTATGGCGTTTTCTCTTCTCAGACCTGCTTAACCCAGCTGTGGAGCTGACTGGAGGGACGCTCCTGCCCTTCTTAATCTTCTTTAAACATCGGTGTCCTGAATGCTCACTGAGATCCGTGCCATCTGGAGCTGGGATAACATCATGACACAAACTAACAGCCACACAGAAACCTGTATTTTGGTCCTGAAGGATTTCAGGGAGGGGCCAGCTTTTATGATTGCCCTGGAGCAACACTTGTACCATGCTGTGACAACTAAGGCATGCTTAATAGTCAGTTAGGTGGCTTCAAAGTTCCCAAGGAAAGCGTAGGTTGAGAATGCATTCATTTCTTTCCTGGGAGATCTTACTATGCTGGACAAAGAAATGTATCTCCTTCTGCCTTGTAAAGTAGCATCAGGGACCGCTTTTGGCTTGACACAGGCTGGTATGCATTCTAAATGCACCTCTCCACCCTCCTTTGTGGGGGCCAGTCCTGGGGTCACTGCACTATTACATATGACCTTGATGTCCATTTCAGCACAGCTTCCAATCTGTCTCCAAGTCGTTTGTGTTTCAGTGTGGCTCAGTGATTCACAATTTCTTTGTGCTATAATACGCCTAACAGATTTCAGGCCTTCCCTTAAGGGATTCAAGGCCTCATTATGCCCAACACCCAGAAAAAGGGAAGTTGGCTGTTCTATTGGAGAGGCTGTGTGAGAAATTAGGAGGGTGTCTTTAACTGCTAGAATCTAAAAGAGTGTTTCCTGCCTTTGGAAGAGGAGAGAGATAAGATCCCACCTCAAGTTTCTTATAGTTCAAAATTACTGAAAATTGCAACAAATGTCATTGGTCTCAAGTAATTCAAGCTGTTAATGGGAAGACTAAAATCTTAAGATGCTTGTGGCTAGCTCAGAAGAGTATCAGGTTCCAGGTGGCCACGGAAATCAGTTGTAGCTAGATTAGGGTCAAATTCCGTTGGATGGGGTCTAACTATGATGGCTTTGCCAGGAAGGGAGAATAAAGATGATGGGACTGGAGAGATGCCTCAGTGGGTAACTGCTCTTCTAGAGCACCCGGGTTTAATTTCCAGTGCTCACATGACAGTTAGCAACCATCTGCAAGTCTAATTCTGAGGGATCTGAACCCTTCTCTGGCCTCTGTGGGCCCCAACCATGCACATGGTATGTAGACACACATGCAGGCAAAACACTGATACATGTAAGATAAAAACTAATAAGAATTTAAAAATGACTTTCAGCTCTCTCCTGTCTCCTGACTAGCTGTCTGCATCTTTAAGCTCGTTCATTGAGTTCCTGTTTATCTTCTCCCCTCTTCTAGAGAATGAATGGGAAAAAGAAGGAAGCAGACGTGTATGTGATAGCAATTGGCCTGGCCATTCTTTCCTCATGACTTTAGGCCCAAGTTCGTTTATAGACAGCCTATAGGAGTTATGACAGCCAAGGAAGGGTCCTCAGGTGTGCTACACATAAAAGTAGCAGGAAGTTCTGTGGTTATAGCACAGGGTATATTGAACGAATGCTGAGCGACAAGATGGACATCATATACCTAGTACATAATTTAGTGGTCTGGTGAATTTTGAGAAAAATACCCCATGCCACTTGGGGGGAGAACTCCGTGGCAGTCAGCAAACTGAAGATAGACAAGTCCAAGAGGCCGTCTTCCCGTGACTCCGCAGGGTGTCATTGCCAGGGTGAATGCCATACTCTGACCTGTCATCGCTCTATGGTGCCATCACCATACATGTTTTAGGGGAACTGGACAAGGTAGAGTGAACCCGGAAAGAATGGAAGGGAGATAAAGCTTACAAACACTGCAAGGAAGAAAGGTGAGGAAGAGTGCAAGGGGAGTGAGAGGAAGGGCGGGCGGGGGTGGGGGGGGAGCCGCCAGAAGGAGGCAGGAGCGAGCGGACAATGGTACTCACGTGTTGTGGAGCACACACCAGCCACAATGGGGGTCACCTGAGCCAAGACACTCGCCACAGCTCCGATACTGCCCGCAGGACTCCACAGGAACTCTGGTTAGCTAGAACAGCACAATGAAGATGAAGCAGTCAAGGATCTTCAGAGAACCTAATAGTTTACAGCTAAAACTGCCATCCAAAATAGCATCGCATCACCCAAGACCCTGGAGGAGCATGGAGGTGCTTAGAGCCCCAGTATCAAAGAGACTTTTTGGAGCCGTAGTGGAGTAGGTGGCTGCATAGCATCCTAAGGATACAACCACTTACTAGGTTCTAATGTAACTGGGAATACAGACCACATTGAGTTCTTATAAAGTATCACAAAGAGACTTACACACTACACATTTAAATTTTCCTATTACCCTCACCCCCAAATATTTCTGCAAATACCCAATCCATTGCATATTTGTTTCCTATCAAAGTAATAAACCGAATGTTCGTTCTTTGGCCATCTTGTTTTGCTTTCCCTCACCCCTTCCCTTAGTTCTTGGCACTTTGATTTTTTCCAGAGAGCACTTAGTCCCCACCCAGCACCCTTCCCTCTTCTTCCTCCTGGCTGTTTAACAAGGTGCCTGATCTGCCCTGTGGCTGCCTCCTGCCTTCTCCTGCTTCGTGTTGTTGACCAGCTTGCTCCCAAAATTGATTTCACCGCAGTTCTTTCAAAGATCAGCCTTGCTATTCCCCCCTACCCACGCCCTTTCCGTGATTTGAGGCTTCCTCTCCAGCCCAGAGACTTCACATGCGCTTCCAGCAGCAGCTTGTTAACATAAAATGTTCCACATGACATTTTCACGTAGCCCAAATGCCTCCATTTCCTGCGCGCTCTTAAATATCGTTTGAATTTCTTTGTTCTCTAAGGCAGCCTTGATGTCGCCTTACATGACGCCCAAGTACCTGTTACACAGCAGGTATTTAAAGATGAGACTCATGATCAAATGGAATTTTAATTTCTTTTTATAGCCTTGGTCTTTATTTTCTATTTTGCCGGTTTCTTCTTTATAAAGAGGTTTATTAAATATTTTTTTTAATTTGGGATATTTTGTATATCTCTTTTTATCCCAATGGAGGACGTCTTGCCTAGTCTTTTAGCCAGAGCCAGGACAACTAGCTATGGTCATCATCAGAATTGGCATGGCACATTGTACCCACTGACCCGGCTGAACCATCTCTGCCTGCGAGTGAGTGCCGGGGGCTGTGTTTTCCCTGCTGGTCCATAAAACTTCTATGCTGAACAATTATGTCCACTTGGCAGGGGCTACTTGTAACTCACGCACAGGCGAATTGGCACCAGAGCCTGCTCAATTAGTCTCCGCACTCTTTTGGAATGAATTATTAATTAATTCCAAGTCCCACCATGGTCTCCTTTGCCTTAATTTCCTCATTTCCTTTATCTATCTTTTTGTAGCTGCCTCCTCTCACTCTTACAGATCTGCCCTTGGCCCTCATGACTTCTTCTCGATGCCTTTGCTTTGCATTTGGAGTTTGTTATGTTTTTCACACATTTATTCGCGTGTGCGCGTGTGTGACATGTATTTGTCATGCATACATGTGGAGATCAGGGGACAACTTGCAGGGTTTGTGAATTCTAGGGATAGAAGTTGGGTTATCAGGCTTGGTGACAAACACCAGTACCCACCCAGCCACTTCTCTGGCCCCTAGAATTTTATCTTAAATTCTATCATTGCCCAGGTGGAGCCCCACAGGACTCCATTGTGATTAAGTTTGATGATAAGGATTTATTATTATTAAATAAATTAGCTCTAAATGTAGCTAGGAGTTTAGCTTATTCCCGGTACCACTTAATTTTTTTCCTGCCCCTCCTTAAGCAAATACCTTCTAGTCATGTAAACACATATATAATAGTGCTCAGCCCAGAGGACTCCAACTCCTAGGAATTCAGGAGTAGGAATGAGATTCACAGCTATTTCCAATACTTCCAAAAGCCTAATGGAAATTGGATTGTTGCTTTTTTATGTGTTTATGCATACTCATGTGTGTCCCATATTAAAGTAGGAAATATATTATTACTTAATAAATGCAGTTTGTTTAGTAGACAGAATCTTTCAAAATGTGACTCCCCGAGGGGAAAAATAATAAAAAGGGTTATAGATGGTGAAAGTTGGGAACTGTAAGTACATAATCATGTTTTCATGGGTTCCAGCTGCCTGTCTGGCACTCCATATTTTGCATGGAAAAATATCATGGCTTGTTCAACCAAAAGCATTTTCTTGGTCTAAAGTTAATTAACATTCTCTGCAGTTTCTCCTATCAACATGTTCAATAGTCTTTCTTGGATGGAATATACCCTGGAATTCCAGAGTGAACCATGGGCTCTAGGGTGTACCCTACAATTCTGGGTATGCCCTGAAATGCTTGGGTGTTTCCTGGGGTTCTAGAATGTTAGCTCTGTTTCTGGTGTGTACCTGGAATTCTGGGGTCTGCCTCAGGTTTCTGAAGTGTGCCCTGGGATTCCAGGGGGGTTCTTGTTCTCTGGAGTTCTGGGGTTGGCCACACTAAGAGTCAGTCACTGGGTAAGTTGGATACCTCAGAAACCTTTGCATTCTAAAAATAACTTGCAACTGGTGTTTAATAATGTCAATAGGCCATGATTATAAAGTCCTTCCTCTCTTGATTTTAAACAGCTGTCATATTTTTTTGTTTGGTTGGAAAGAATGTCAGAGACTGCAGAGGGAGGTTCACAGAATCCTTGGCCATTGCTAGCAATGTCTTGATACTTGTTTTTCTTGTCTGTAAATATGGATATAAACCCCATGTTCCTATTCCTGAAGCACATGATCATGAAACTGATTCATAACGGGTCCAGGTATAGTACCCCACAGGTATGACTGAGATCACCATAGGCTGTTCTATGAGTGTTCCATTCCCTGTGGGTTATTGCACTGACCTGTCTCCCGAGTCACAGAGACATGCTCTGAGCCTTCTCTAGGTCGAGGGAGCTAACAGATCTGGAAGATGCTTTCCTTTTTAGTCCCTTCATTGTGTCACTTTCTCTTTGAATGTGACATCAGCCCCTAAGCCATTCCCCAATTCAGGATTCAGATGGGGCTCTGAAGTTCTCCCAAGCTTCCTGGATTGATTCAGATCCTTTTCCTAGTTTAGGAGTGAGCTCCATGCTGTTCTTTCATTTCAGCTATATGCCTATGTGGGACAGGGCAAAAGTCCCCAACAGTCCCAGCTCTCTAGATGAACTTGAACAGTTCCTTCTAGGGCTCTTTTCAATCATCTATAAAATAAGCAACCATATGGACTCATTCTAGAATTCCTTTTGGATTTGACATTTCTGCTCCTTCTAACTGTCCAGATGAAACCTCACCCAAGTCAGTCCATCTTTCTTGTTTGGCTTTCATGGACATGTGTAAACCTGCAATTGGAGACTTTCAAGAGAACACACCCCGAAGATCATCATCTGGGAATCTAGAACTTTCCCCTTGAAAGGCCAACAACAGAGATCTTTGCCTTCCTTGCAGCTCATTCCTACTCATGTCACTTTTTGCTACTTGCTTGGAGGTTGATCTAAATGTTCCCCAGTCTCTTGAATCATGGATGCTAAAATTAACATGTCACCGGGGAATCCCAATAGATCAAAGAAAACAGTTGTCATCATTTGAGGGGTTGATGTCATCTCTCTCCTTTCTCCAGGGGCCAGGAACTCTCAGAAGTCCCACTCTCCTGTCACCTGCTTTCTTCCATGGCCTAGTACTGCCTCTGTGACTCCATCTTCTCTATCTACAACATTGCTTTCCTGTGGACAATTCTAGAATGCACCAGAAGTTTTCCCAATACTTTAGAATCACTTTCACAAACTGGAATTAGTCCAGTCATTTATCTCAGTTGCAAAATATATACCCTAAAGTCCTCAGCTACCTTTCACACCTTGCTAGTATGTTGCAAAGGTGACTAGATGGCTTCTCAACCAACTCGCTCCTATGATTTCTCTCTTTACCCTCAGTATCTGGATTCTCTACCTACACTGGACACCAGACAAAGCTGCCTCTCCAACCCCCACCTCAATTCCTCTCCTGACCCTGGAACACAAACCACTCCAGATGCAGAGCCACACGATTAATTAAAAGCACCCCACACTGATTAAAGTCTTAAGCTACGGTGCCAGGCATGCTAATTAACCAAGTAGGGGAATTCAGACCACAGGAAGAGGTGTAAAAAGGAGAAGTGTATGTGTGTCAGGGGGATGACTTCTGTCGAGAGAACAAATCAGATGACAATGTGACCTGAGCTATCATAATGATAGATGGTGTCTGAGACTACAGAAGATTGAGGTCCCTTCCCCTGGCCACTGGACTCCAGGAGAATTGTTGATTGATGTGGCAACAATGTAGCCTTTAGTGCTTCCAGAGAGGGAGCCCCATCCCTTCTCTGGACCAGCCCTACACTAAAGCAGGGTAAGAATGTGGCTACTGGAACAGGAGTGAGACAGCATCTGCAGAGTTGTCTTGGCACACTGTTCTACCTTTGAGAAATTCCTCAAAAAACAGAGATTTGCCTTGCAAGATGGTAACTTGAGTACACATGCAAAAGAAGGGAAAGCTGAGTCTCAGGGACACATTGGCAAGCCCATATTCATTGCAGAAGTATGTGCAATAGTTAAAAAGGGAAGTTACCCAGTGTCCATCAACAGAAGAATGGATGGACAAAAAGTGGTATGTACTTGCACTGAAATGGTATTCAGCCTTCAAAGGACAGGAAGTCGAGTGTTGGCACATGCCTATGATCCCAGAACTCTGGAAGCTGGGGCAGCAGAAGCAAAAGTTCAAGGCCAATGTGGACTGCATACCAAGCTTGAGGTCAGCTGGGGTTACACAAAGACATCTTATCTCAAGAAACTAACAAGGGATAGAGAGAGGGAAGACATTCTAGATAAACCTTAAGGGCAGTATGTTAAATAAAACAGGTAATACATAAAAGGACAATGATGACAACATATATGAAATCATTAGTCATAGTGATGAACTGGGATTGTGGCTGACAGGGTCTGGAAGAAAAGAGGGAGGAATTGGTTACTACTGAATGGGTTCAGTTTAGA